GAGCTACATTCTGGAGGAACTCAACGTTCTTGAGCTTGTTCTTTCTTCTGACGAGGCTAAATACAATGTCCAGTACAGTGTTTCGGCTGACTGGCCTACCCTCGGCAAGAAGTTGAAGAAGGATGTCCAGAAGGTCAAGAAGGCATTGCCCTCGCTGACCAGTGAAGACGTCAAGAAGTTCGTCGCTGAAAAGAAGATGCTCGTGGACGGCATTGAGCTTATCGAGGGCGATCTTGTTGTGAAGAAGGGTCTCAAGGAGGATTCCTCGTCGGTGAACATGGAATCAAACACAGATAATGAGCTCGTGACCATCCTGGACGCGAACTTGTATCCCGACCTTGCCGAGCAAGGATTGGGCCGTGAGATCATCAACCGCCTGCAGCGTCTCCGCAAGAAGGCCGGTCTGGTGCCCACCGACGACGTGAAAATGGAGTACGTGGTTCTGTCCGACCCCGAAGACATTGGTATCAACAAGGCGTTTGAGACGCAGGCCAAGGCTATCGAAAAGGTTGTGCGCAGACCGCTTGAGCGCCACGAGCTTGTCGACGGCAAGCTGCCAAGCGGCGAAGAGCCTCAGATGATCATCCAGGAAGAACAAGAAGTCCAGAAGGCCACCTTCTTGTTGCGGTTGCTGAAGCTGTAGAACTTTTGGCCAACTTAAGATGTGCAACGACAACAGTTAGATTCATACAATTCCCAGTGGTTTCTTTTTTCCCCGTTATGAGATAAAATGAGCTCTTCGCTATCCCAATTTATTACACGAACATCTTCGTCTTTTATCATTCAGACATAATGCATGCTCAGCCAGTCCAAATACGCCTAATAAACCCTCCGTTCTGTCGCCCAATACAGTTCAGTTAAATTAAACCTTCTTTGAGGCCGCCTGTAGCACATAAATCAGTCATCTATTCATCCGAGAGTGACGGGATTCCACTCTACCAGAAAACAGTCTTTGAGCTTCATAAATTCTTTGGCACACATGTCTTTGTGTACCGCATTATAGTCAGCAACAACACATTTGCCATATGCAGCGGCCTAGGGTGCAGTCACAAGTTAGTTGGGCGTGTACATGATGCCTGACGGGAGAGTCATTTGAGACAAGCAGAAGGGACGTGAGGGATAAATACCTCTGCAGAACATTTGGCCGTGGCCTTGGCAAACTTTTCAATGGGTCTTGTCTTCGTTGAAGGCATTTGCTTATTGTTCTCTTACAGCCTGGCACTTGACAGAGGCCTCAGTCAGTAAGTGATTGGCAGCATCATCGACCATGGCGACGCAGGCAAAGAGACCGACATTACGTAAGTGACGTATCACATGACCACAATGCATTCCATCGCCCGGCGCGACACGAGGCCAAAACAATTAAGTGGTCCCTCCGCCGAAGTCAATGCTCGTTCACTGGCCGTAGTAGCCATTGGGTCTGCAGGTCCATCCGGATCGCGTTCGATAACTATAGCTCTCAGACTTGAGCACTCTGGGACTCCACCGTCTCTTCCCAACCAAGGGCCTCGCAATGGTTGATATTCTTTCCCGCCTCCATGACCCATATGCGACAAAACGCGCCCTAGGCCGCGAAGTTTTCGATGCCTCCCGTTCCTCTCCAGCGAAGACCTTTGTCCTATGAAGACCCGTTGCTCTCAGACGATGGTATGTAAACTGACTGTTGCAATTTTGCTCGCGTCTTTTCTTTCAAGGGATGCTAACATGGGCTCGTTTGTTGCACACCAGATGTCGGCCTCCTCTACCAAGTCATCACTCGCGCCGAGCGCGATCCAGAAGTCGAGCGCCTCCCATACCGAGTACTCTTCAGTGCTTACGATCAGGTCATTGCCGAACATGGCGTGGACGCGGATCCGGGCTATGCCTGCATGCGTTTCTTGCTCAAGATGGGGAGCAAGGACATCGCAGGGGAGTCGCTCTTCGAGAAATTCGAAAGCTTGCTGGAACGGATGGGAATCGTGATTGAAATCGGCGAAGATGATGGGCAGGAGGACACATACGTTGACACCGTGCCTTCAGTCGAGAGCCGGGTCAGGAAAACGAGACATGAAGCTACCGGGGAATCTACTGAACCGACATACTCCGAAATGCGAACGCCTCTGCGGAGACGCGCCTCGTTCAATTCCATGTACGATGTCGGTGACGATCCCACTCAACGGAGCTTCATCAATCGACCGAGCTCACGATCCTCGATGTCGCGACTGCAGACCGGCAAGCCCGAGTATCCCTTTCCGGATTCCACCCCAAATACAAAGCGCGCGATCGCCTTAAAGGGCACCGACTCTCCAGACAGAACACAACTGATCGCCCAATTTCTTGATGTTGGTCGTAGACTCATGAACAGGTTTGATCTCCTGGCTGTAGCGAATTCAGAGTCGGCACCGGAGGAGAAGCCCATGCCAAATGGCTTGTATGCTCGTGCTGCTGTTGACAGAGACCGCTCCGAGAGAATAGCCGAGGCATCGCGTTCACAACCATCAAAGTCTTCGAGCAGCTCCGATGATGGCGAGGATCAGCTTTCTTCTCAAGATGAGGATAGCGGCTCTGTTGGGCGACCCGAAGCCCCTCCAGAACTACTCTATCGGCCATCGCTTTCAGACCTGCTGCGCGACGCCTCGACTTTCAATATGTATCGCCAACGAGCGATTAACCGCCGGATACTGACCCAGTGGCTCAAGAAGGCTGTGGAAAGAAGACAGACCCATCAGCATATGGAGGTTGTCGCTTCCAACCGAGACAGAGGCACATTGTTGCGCCAAGCTTTCGAGACATGGCATGGAAAGATCCTAGAAAAGCGTCGGGTGGAACGAACAGAAAGGTTCTTCAATCATCTTGAAGAGCGCGCTGGACGGGCTCGGGATCTCTACTTGTTGACTAAAGCATTCTCTCACTGGGCTCAATTTACCTCGGAAGAGGTTGCAAGAACCTCAGCCGCTCGCCGACATATTCTCGGTGTCAAATACTTCAACGCCTGGCGAGAAATCACTGCAGTGAACGAACTGAAAGCTCAACGCTTTGCCTTGCGGCGGCCCTTCAATGCCTGGAGGAAAAGGACAAGACAGCTCAGGCAGGCGGAGGCGGAAGCGGCGGCCATGCATGACGAGAGGCTGACAAATGCTGCCTACTGGCAATGGTTCTGGCACTTCTGCGAGCAGCGTGCCCCTCAGTGGTATGACCATTGTCTCAAGAGACGGTCTTTACTGTATTGGCTGCGCAAATTTCGAACAAACAGGGAGCAGATCTATGATATTGAAGTCAGAAGTCGGCACAATCTGCTCACAACTGCTTGGCAAACCTGGCGTCACAGGACTGAGGACGTAAATGTTATTGAAGAGGAAGCGTCTTCGATCCAAAGACGTCAGCTTCTAGGTGAGACCTTCAGAGAATGGAAGGCTCAGACTCATCTAGCGCCGGTCGCTGCCCATGTCTCACACATGGTGGACAACAGAATTCTCCGATCAACGTATCAACAATGGATTCACAGAGTTCAGATGTTACAGCAGGCAAGGGAAATGGATCGACACCGCATTGTACGTAATGCCTGGACAGCGTGGAATGATCTGCTTCGTTGCCAGGCTCTTCACGCCCGCATTGAGGAACGTTTGAAGCTAGAAGCTATGTATAAGTGGATTCTGGCCGAACGATTCCGATTGATACAGCGGATCCGGGAACAACGAATTAAGCATGAAACCTTGTTCAAGTTTGTGACAAATGTGCGCGGAACGTACTCAGTACTCCTTGATCGTGCAGAAGCCTATGAACGAAGGCAAACCAAAGACTTACTTCGGTCTAAGCTCCTGTGTTGGCGGGATCAACTTGCTGTACAACATGAACGAGACGACATTGCGTTTGAGTTCTATGCACCACGTCTCGCCCAGGAATCGCTTGTGGCCTGGCGCTCAAAGCTTCAACATGTGACGAAGATCGAGGAATGGGCACAAAAAGCCAGATTTTACTTCCTAGCCACTAAGTATACCAAACAATGGCGTGTCGCTGCGACGGAATCAGCCAAACGGCGTCGCCAGGAAGCCTACATCAAAACTCGGAGGAAGCATAAAATCAAGCTCGCGACCAATGCTCTTCTGCACTGGGTATCGAAAGCTCGTACTGTGGCTGAATTAGAGCATCAAGCTATACAGTTTTCGCGACAGAAAGTATTGGTTATCGCAGCCGAGCTTCTGGGCCGATGGCAAGATAGGACAATCACTCGGATTCAAGAGTGTGGTTATGCTGATAATCATTACGCTCGTCAAAACGTGCAAGAACAATTGACTCGCTGGGCTGACAATCTGGTTGAGGTTCGTCGCCAAGAGGAACAAGCCAACACCATACACCATTTCCATGCTTTATCACAAGCCAGCTCACAGCTTCGCAAGCTGAGCTTCCGCATCTTCCAAGTCAGGCGCTTCTCTGAAATGGCCGACGCGATGAAGGAGCGCAACCTCAGAAAGCATACACGTGGCATGTTCCGCAACTGGCTTGACCAAGCAAGAGCGAAACTGGAAGCGCGAGATACCGCAGGGCCATTGCTTAGTCCGCGGAGGAACCTCGATGCTCCCCTCGGACTCGATACGAACCGACGCCTCTTCGATCCCTACTATCAGGTCGAGACTCCTTTCAAGACGTATGTTACAGAACCCCAGGCTACTTCAACAACACCTCTAGCCACCCCTAACTTCCTCACATCGCCCACCAAGCGGGCGCCGCCGCCAGTGGCCCAGGGTTCCACCACCCCAGCAACGCCTTTGTACACGCCCTTTGCTAGCCGTCTACTACGAGCGGGCGCCTTACCTCGAACATTATCTAGTCGACGTCGTGCTGGACGAGGTAGTGCGCTTGGCACGAGTGTTCGATTCGTGGATGAAGAGCCCGAGTCGCCAACGGACGGGCGGCGGTCGTCTGGTCGACGAACATGAGCACCCTGCTTGTTGTCATCTTCAGGTTGTGATGATGGCTTTCTTTGTTGGCTTGCTTGAATTTCTTGATTAAGATCATGATACCCGTTTGCGTTGTTATGATAGCGTGTAGACTCTGGTTTTCCACTTCCTGTTACATATACTTTGGGCCTATATATCGGTCATGAATGACGTACCATATGCATAGACACTTGGATTCGATGTACTGTATAATGACTTCGCTTGAGATTTCAAACACCAAATATACATGCCTTTTCCCAGGAATGCTAAGCTTGCCTGCTTTGCTCGTTGCAAGTTCATTGTTTGTTCAATGTGGGACAGTACAGCAAACGGGACAATGAAGCGGATTGCAAGTGATCAGCCGATGGTCACACGGCGGAAGGCGGGAGGAGCAGCGGAGAGCAACAGCTTAGCTTGTTCCATCGGGGTGGCCTCCCCTCCTCCAGTGAACTTCCACCCCCTCGATTTCCCTGTCACCACATCACCATTTCTTCCTGACTTTTCTCTTACACTCTATCCTCCTTATCTATTCTCTTGATAGACACTCTGTGACTTTGCACCTGGCAATGGTGTAACCTCGTCTTGTGCGCAACAAGCGTCCAACCCCCCAACAACCACCGCCTCTATGCGAGCGGTACTGCCGGGGAGGCCCCCGACGAAGCTCCAGTCGTTCAGCACTGCACTGTGGGATGGAATTCGCGTTATTGTAAGGCTCACTACTGAACCTCATGCGACTTCCCTCGTTGTTACTTCTCTGCTGTTTCGCTGACCTATTGGGCCTCGCGCGTCGTCTCGTATTAGGTGTACATTTCCGGCCAAGCATTGGTTATCCTCGGCGGTCCACACAAGCTCCTACAAACCATTTACGTCGACGATACCGATGTCTTAGAGGCAGTAACGATCGATGAAGTCTCCGGCAAGATTGCCGCGTGTGGTGGGCCTGACATCTTCATATACCAACCATATGGAATCCAGAACGAAACGCTCAAGGTCGGTTCCTGCCGAGATGACACAGGGTGGAAGTTGGTACAGTCGGACAAGAACATGGCCGAGGACAGTGACGCTGAAAGTGCTCTCTCTGTATAGTGGTCCCTAGTACAAACGTTCCGCAGCGACGATGACGACGAGACGATCCGTACCCTATCGTGGGGCTCGCCCGATGAACTGCTCCTGGGAAACTCTCACCTCACCCTCTGGTTTTTGAACGATCAGCCGCGACCGGTGTGGAAGCAAGCGCTGGCAAGCACTGTCAAATTCGCCCAGTTCTCCCCGGATGCAACGCTATTGGTGACCGCCGGACATTATGATCGCATGGTTAAGGTTTGGCGAAGGCTGAACTTCGGTAATAACATTCGGTTCGAAGTGTCTTATCTTCCACATCCGACCGTTGTCACCGGGATTCACTGGCGCCGACCCTACCATAGGGAGCAGTCGATGGGCAATGTCTTCTACACGCTGTGCGCGGACAATAAGATCAGGGTCTGGGCGACGATGGACTATCATGCTCCAACTGCCTTGCAACTTTGGACGCAAATCGACATGGGCGCATCGGTTCAGCCGAGACATGCAACCAAGGAAACGAATACCTCCCGGCGGTACGGCTTCATAGTTGACAGCCGAGATTTCTGCGTTGCGACCGAGAAGGCCGTCCAGCGAGGCACAGGCAACACGGATAACCACGCCCTGGAGCATATAATCGAGGTGGCAAACAAGAGCCCGGAAATTTGCGTTGTCATAGACGGCGAGGGACACATGTCGGCCTGGGCGTTGCAAGATGTTGGATCGAAGGCCAAGGCGGAATTGAACGTGTTCAACATTCTCCATGTCGAGGGCTTGAATTTTGCGTTCATGCCTGGTTTGACGATTGAAGAGGACTATGCGCAGCTGTGCGCTTTCCAGGGTACAGAACCGGGCGACTCAATCGCCGTCCTAGTTCACCACTTTGACGGTCGGATTGAGTGGTTTGACTCGCCAGTCGACGTACTCTTCGACCCAGCGCCCCGCAAGAACCGAGTTGTCATGAGAGCATCATGGACAGGACACAATGGGCCAATCAAGAAGATTGTCCGTAATGCCATTGGAGATACACTCGCCTCTCGTACGGATGACAGCAAGGCGTTGATTTGGAGGCAGAAACAAAGAGATGGTGGGTCGGTGCTGCTCCGGCAGTGCGCACTGATAGCAGAAGAGCATATTCATCGCAGCTGTGTTGTCGGCGACGGAGACTTCCTAGTGAATCTTCATCATGATGGAATCTCCGTTTGGGATATTCATTCTTTCCATGCGAAAAAGCTTGCAGCAGCAAAATTCAAGCTGTCCAGCAAACCACTCTGTGTCTTACCGATTCCTGCTGCGGAATCGAGTGGTGTCGTGTATATAGCAACCATTGCGAGTGGCATGGATGGAATAGCTTGGGAGATACAGCTGCCGAACCCGAAACAGGGGAAGCCCGAGTGCAGTCTACGCAAGTTCTGCACATTTCACCTCGGCATTCAAGAGGACATCGCTTACATATTGCCTGTTGATCCAGCTGGGCGCAAAGCCGAAATGACTGGCTTTTTCGACCTCTTCTCGCCGGATATTGCACTGTCATACACTAAGACTGGCACCGTCAGGACGTGGACGGCCAAGGTTGATAGGGACAATGATCGCGTCGATTGGCTCCTGACATCTACAGTCGAAACAGGCATCACGAACTTGTCACTGGCTAGCGGTAGCTCTATTCGCAAAGCTGCCCTGGTCGATGAAGATCGTACACATCTGACTATATGGGATACGAACGATGCGCAGCTAGAATTCGAGGAGCACTTTTCGCAGCAAGACTCCATTCGTGACCTCGATTGGACATCAACCCCGGATATGCAATCTATCCTTGCAGTTGGATTTCCACACAAAGTCATTCTTCTCTCTCAACTGCGCTACGATTATCTTGATTCGCGTCCGTCCTGGACACAGATCCGAGAGATCTGGATCCGTGATCTCACACCACATCCCATCGGGGACTCCTGCTGGCTTAGCAATGGTCATCTCGCCATCGGAGCTGGGAACCAACTATTCATATATGAAAATGAGATCAGTGCTGCTGATCACCTGATATCTCAACTGCGTATACCTGCTCGTGGCCTTTCTACAGTTGACTTGTTTGATGTCGTGAGCAGACTCAACGGACCACTACCTGTTTTCCATCCACAATTTCTGGCACAGTGTATCCTCAGCGGAAAGACAAATTTAGTGCACTCCATACTATTGAACCTCCATCGGAAACTCAAATTCTACACGGAAGGGGACGACATCGATGGGTTCCTGGAAATGTCTCTGGAGGACTTCTATCTCGAGCATGATGTATGTTTGAACGCATTAGTTGATATATCGTGTCACTAACGATTCCAGACCCCACAGAAAGCAACCTCAAAAGAGCTCAATTCATCGTATGCCGACCTTTCCCTGGAGGATGAAGTGACCGTGGTGGATGAAAATATAGCTGTTGCGCTCAATGAAAATCTGGCACGATTTGCCCTACCACAACTGTCCAGCCAGGAACAATTTCGGCTTGTTGACACCGTTGAATGTGTGGCAACTGTTGAGAAGCACCGGCGCTCAATGGATGACAATGCTGCTCGGTATCTCCTCTTCTTCCGACAACATCTGCTGCGCAGAACTCAGGGAGTCGCAATCAACGATACAGTGTCATGGAGAGAAATTGTGTGGGCTTTTCATAGCGGTAGCCAGGATATTTTGGTAGATCTGGTTTCACGACAGTGTGGTGGAAAAGTGGGTTGGAAGTCAGCTCGTGAGAGCGGCATTTTCATGTGGCTGTCGAACCCTGCTGCCGTAGTAAGTTGAGACATCACACCGATTGATCTCCCACATAAGACTAACAGGTGATAGCGGGCTCAACTCGAGGTGGTTGCTCGAAATGAGTACACCAAGACCGAGGAGAAGAACCCGGTCGACTGCTCATTGTACTACCTTGCTCTCCGGAAGAAAAATATTCTCCAAGGACTGTGGCGCATGGCGCATTGGCATCGTGAGCAAGCGATGACGCAACGGTTGCTGTCGAATAATTTCGACGAACCGCGATGGAAAACAGCAGCACTGAAGAACGCTTATGCTCTACTTGGGAAACGGAGGTTTGGTGAGTCTCCCTATAACCGCCGATGACTTCGGGAGCTGGCCCTGATTGACTCTCGGTAGAATACGCTGCCACATTTTTCCTACTTGCTGGGCATATACGCGACGCTGCTCTCGTATGTGTGAATCAAGTGGGCGATCTACAGCTTGCGATTGCCATCACCCGTGCATATGAAGGCGATGATGGGCCTGTTCTGAAGGAGCTTCTCGAGGAAAGGGTGCTTCCCGAGGCTGCTGCCGATGGCAATCGATGGATGGCTTCTTGGGCTTTCTGGATGCTAGGACGTCGCGGGATGGCCGTCCAATCATTAATCGTGAGTGATTCCTACGACCCAAATGTGGCGAGAAATACTAACAATGAGAAGTCCCCTGTCGAGTCACTCATACCTCCTACACCCTCTTCACCTGGGTCACCGGGGATGATTCCTCTGCAGGCCAAGTCTTACCTCTCCAACGACCCTGCATTAGTCGTCCTTTACAAGCAACTCCGCGAAAAGACCTTGCAAACACTCAAAGGAGCATCGAAAATCTCCCCGCAGGCGGAATGGAGTTTTGTCACCCGCAACGCTCGTCTATATGATCGTATGGGCTGTGACCTTCTTGCACTGGATCTCGTTCGACACTGGGAGTTCCTCGGTGGTCTACCACTCCCTAAAAAGGCGAAAGAGATCCCAGTGGACCTGCAGGAAGAGGAGCCTGATTACCGCAAGCTGCTCCGACGTCGGAGTAGTCTCGTGGTGGCAGATCTGCCGGTTAAGGAGCGCCTGGCCCCTAAACCGCAGGCCCCGGCTGCATCACAGAAGACGCCGAAACCGCCCCCGACGATGTTCCATGAGCCCGATGCGAACTCCTTACTTGACAGCTTTGGGTTTTGATTCATACTAGGTCTTCAACAGCGGCAGTGATAGGCGATTATATTGTCCGTTTTTGCGTCTAATTGTACAGATCGGTTGACCTGTGGCTTCTTTCTGAGTACTTGTTCGTATTCTCTTGTCGAGGTTCCCAAAAAAAGGGGATGCGGGCGAAGCCGTGTATATTAAAGTTCGTTCTAACTCCGGTATGTGAATAAGCGGTTTGTTATGTAGGATGATAACTGTTGTTTGTTGAACATAAAGCTTTATTATATTGTGTATGATACATGACATCCTATCTATCCTTGCACACTTATACAGTACTCTCCTCACGCCACAAAATCCAACCACCCAATCGCTAAATCAAAAAGCTGACAGATATACAAGACATACACGAGGCCCCCCAAGAGACGCCCCCCACATTCTCAATATACAAAATCCAAATCAAGACACCAATAGAAACAAGTTCAAAAAATCGATTTTCACAGATTCGACAAGCGAGTGCGTGCCGCGCGCCGCAGACGCATCGACCGCGACAGAACCGGAGCCGTCGAGTTGGTCTTCACAGCACCGGCACCCGGAGCTGCGGTGGTATTGGTGGCGGCGGTGGCGTTCTCCAGCGCCGCGTGCAATTTCGAGAAGATGGTGGGTTGCAGCTTGGGGATGTCGGGAATGGCGGGGATATCGGGGATGGCGGGGATCTTGGGATCCGTGGAGGTGGACGAGGAGGACGATTGTGGCTCGTCGTCGTCGTTATCATCCTCATCCTCATCATCATCGTGAGGTTGCGCCTGTTGTGAGGGCTTCTGCTGACCACTACCGCCGCTGATGGTGGTGCTGCTGCTTTTGCTGCTGCTCGTGCCGGTGGAGGTGGTGGCCGCCTTCTTGTCGGTCTCGCAGTGCAGCAGAATCCACATCTGCGAGAGGGAGTGGAACTCGCGCTCGGTGCACGTGGCGGCGGCGCTGCCGTCCTGGATGGGGACTTCGACCAGGGGCGCGTCGACGCAGCCCGGCACCTCGTGCAGGGTCACGTTGCATTTGTCGTAGGGCCCCGTGTAGAGGGCCTCGGCGTTGAAGGAGACGGCGTCGGCGTTGTAGCGCCGCCCCACGGGGAAGGCCTGGCACGTGCCGGAGTAGACGTCGATGACGACCGTGGCTGATTGGTCGTCGGTGCGTTGGAAGAAGGAGGCGAAGAAGTTGGAGAGGATGCTGTTGCTGTTGCTGTTGCTTGTCTCGGCGGATGGTGATGGGGCTGGGGTGTCGGAGGAGTCGTCGGCGGGACACTCGCTGTAGAAGCTGGCCCAGACTCGGGCGATGCTGAAGGCCGAGGCCTGGGCGGTGTTGAGGAGGAGGAGGGTGAGGATTGTGGTGATCTATTAGGATGAATGGGGGATTAGTCTTTGGGTTTGGGTTTGGGTTGGGTGGAGGTCGGCGGGGAACTCACTGTTGTCCACTGCATTTTGACGGTTGGAGGTGTGGTGTTTGTTTGTTTGTTTGTTCTCAAGAAAAGGTAGGATGTATAGTTCGAAGAATTGCGAATTGCAAAGAGCTTGAGCTCAAGCCAGCGAAGGAAGATATAGTGATTGTTGATGCGAACTTATCCTTGACGATGCTGAATGTGATCTGATTGTTCTTCTTCTCTTCGAACCACGAATCTGACCATCGTTTTATAGGCTTCGGACCCGTATACCAGCCTCTATGTTTATGCGAGAGAAGACTTTCCACCTCCACGAGAAGGAATCTGTCAAGTGCATCATCTGCACGCCCAGCATTCCGGAGCGGTCCATTCAAGGCCGCGCTCCCACATTCCCCGGCGATTTGCCATCGAGGCGCGTCCGATCATCGTCCCGGAATAAGTAACGGCCCTGACGATCTCGACGTTTTCATCTGGTGCGCATCTGCTCCGCACATTTTTCGGCAGGGTTAGTCGTGTCGTGGCATTCGAGATCGTGGTGGCGCGGGTTGCCAGCCACATATTCAGGCGCAGCGCGTCTGTGCTGGAGAATAGAGAGTGACATAGATGGAGGGCGAAAGCAATAGAGAAAGAAACTTACTGAGATGTCAGGTAAGTGAAAAATCAGCAGCAAGCAGTGCTGTGTGAGGCAGGAAACTGAGATACTCACATGGTGAAGGTGGTGGTGGTGTAACTATAGTTGAGTCCAACCATAGTTCGGCACTGCCTAAGGCCATTCAATGTGTCAGCACTATTTTGCGCCCAAGCCACTTACTTGCATACTATAGCCTACCTCAGCTCGACTAATGTACAGTACTTGCACGTCGCTGGCCCACTAACGCACAACCCTTGCCTGATCATCTATGACGATCCGACTGAAAGACACGCCTACACACACCACGAATGCTGTCATCCATGTTGGAGCCAAAGAGGCCTGTCGGCGATTAAGGGTGCCACACACTATGGGTAAGATGATGTCGATCAGGAGTGTCCTTGCTCATCGGTGAACTATAAGCTATCCAGTCCTTGCCATCCGTTTGAACCTAGTGGAGCAGAAAACCCCTGCGACGACACGACGCATAATCCAGGTCGCATTTGAGTTGTTCGGGCACTTACTTATATGTATCTGGCGTCCACCTTCCGCCGGCACTAGAATACTTGGATTTCCCCCGACTTCACTTTCGAAGCTGACGTCAGCCTTGCTCTACGTTACTCTCCGGTTGACAGCAGTCTCTGACACTTTTCATCCTCTATCATGGCCGAGACAATCGAGTCTTCTACTGATGTGTACGTTTTCTTCAATTCCATCTTCGATAGTCTGTCACTTACTGTTGCGCAGGCTGATTATTGGCGCAGGCCCATCGGGGCTGATGGCCGCCTACTGGATGGCGCGCTGTGGTGTCAACGCTCGCGTCATTGACAAGAAAGGGACCAAGGTCTTCAAAGGCCATGCAGATGGACTCAGGTGCCGCACCCTGGAATTGCTTGACAGTATTGGCGTTGCCCAGCGAGTCCTTCAAGAGGGCCATGAAGTGTTTAGTATGACGTCTTGGGTCAGTATTTGCTTCAGACACAGGACTGAGACCACAAATCTGACCCATCGGTATAGGGGCCTGATGAGAATGGGAAATTGTGCCGCCAAGTTACCACGGACTTGGAACCTAATCCACCATACGCTATCGCTGCACTGAGCCAGGGCCGTATCGAGCGTTTCCTCTTAGACGCCATCGCAGAACATTCCAACCTCGAGGTTGAGAGGGGGGTCATCGGCGAGTCGTTGGAATATGACAAAGGACTTGAGAGCGATCCACAAGCGTATCCTATCACGCTCAGGCTGAGGACACTAAGTGAGGAAGAAGCCTCCCCAGCGCCGGCTCACGGTGTCTCGGACAGGTCTCTCAATCACTCGGTGAATGTCGATGATCAGATGGACACGATCCAGCATCGCAAGCACAAGGTAGGAACCGTTGAGACGCTCAAGGCCAAGTATGTGATTGGCTGCGATGGAGCGCACAGCTGGACTAGGAAACAGCTCAATATTCCCTTCGAAGGCTCGACCACAGATCACATATGGTGGGTGAGCAAAGCGCTGTTGTCAACAGAGCTTGTTGTTGGGAACTAACGCTGTATTTATACTCCAGGGGAGTTATCGACATCGTTCCCATCACCAATTACCGTCAGTCTCCACTCACACCGAAGTAGATTGAGAGAGCTATGAGCTAATGTGACTTACAGCGGACATACGTCGGATTGGAAGTCTAACCAATGCATCAGGCACAGTGCTCATCGTTCCGAGAGAAAAGAACCTGGTCCGGTTTTACGTCCCATTGCAGGAGGAACACGAGGTTTCTCAGAAATTTGATCGGTTGGCAGTGACTCTAGAGTCAGTCCGGCAAAGAGTGAAGAAGATAATGAGTCCTTTCCATTTCGATTTCAACGTTTGTGATTGGTGGACCGTATACCAGGCATGTATAACCCTAGCCCCATACCTGGATTCATCAATAACCTATGGCCTTTTGGTCTGTGCCCCCAGGTTGGTCGGAGAATTGCACAAACGAACGCAAAGGGTCGTGTATACTTGGCTGGAGATGCAGTTCATACTCACTCGCCTAAGGTGGGGATGGGCCTGAATATGAGCATGCAGGACGGATTCAACATTGGGTGGAAGGTCGCCCTCGTTGCAAAGGGACTCGCAAAGCCCTCAATCCTCGATACGTACAAGTCTGAGCGTTATCCCTTGGCCGAAATGCTCCTCGATTTTGACCGTCAATGGTCTGCACTTTTTTTACAGCAAGAACAACAGAAGAGTCACGCAGCCCCAGTGGCGCAGGAGACATTAATAGCCATGAGGGACATTCTGCGCAAGACGGAGCACTTCTCTCAGGGTCACACTTCGTATTACCGTGCGAGCTCACTGGTTTGCAAGCAGTCAAAGGCAGTAGCTCAGCATCTCACCCCCGGCGAGAAACTTGTTCCGGTGAGACTTCGAAGTCAAGCCAATGGTCTGCCTTCCTGGACCACCAAAATGCTGGAAAGTGACGGGCGCTTCCGTATCTTGCTTCTAGCTGGAGACGTGCGATCAAGGGAACAAGCAAGTCGTGTGTGGACATGCGGCGATGGATTGACTCGTCTGCTCAGGCAGTTCGCCCCGACCAAAAGCAAGCTTGACTCAGTCATCGATGTCAAGGCGATCCACAGCGCACCCTTCGCGGATGTAGAGTTGGATATGTTTCCGAGTATCGTGTATCACTTCGATGAGAATGAGGGCTGCGACCTTACCAAGGTATGGAGTGATAGTGCATGTGATTGGGGCCAACAATCCGACGGTAAAGGATACGAATCCTGGGGAGTAGATCGATTGAGGGGAGGATTGATTGCCATGCGGCCCGATCAATATATCGGATGGATGGGTGAGCTGGAGGATGTTGCTGATCTAGCTCGCTACTTCCAGGGGATATTTGTGAAGAGTGAGGTCCGGCCCATGCTGTAAGCAGTATCCATGGAAACTTCGTGTGACTGTTTAGTCAAACGGCTTGAGTCCAGGGCCATGCATGCAATTGTCTAATTATAGTCATTGGATGAAGCTTGTAGTGACTAAATAACTGTGTATATGACTCGGAAACTGGAGGCGATGAGCGACGAAGCGCTTCGCCGCGGGACAGTGGGTCAGATGTCACTGATAAGGCGCGGAAGGAACATCGAAGAGGGGAAGAAATTCGAGTCAGTATAAGAAGGTTGACACTGTCCCAGTCCGTCTCGCTTCACACATCTTCATTAGTCCGGGTGACTTAACCGCCAAAATGACACAAATCTCATCGAACTCATCGACCCATCATCACATCGTCTACCTCCAGGGCGATTTTGTAGACATCCTCGATTTCGACCTTCCCGCCCCGCATACCTACACCAAGACCGTGTACCCGCAGACCTCTCTATCAGAGCTCCACGAGCGCCTCCACGATGCGTCAGTGATCGTCCTCTCCGCGTTGCGGATCGACGCCAATGCCCTTGCGCCCGAGGTCAGCCCCAATCTCAAGCTGGTGATGGTCGTGGCGGTGGGCACCGATTGCATTGACCTGGAGGCATGTCGCAGACGGGGCATTGTCGTCTCCTACATCCCCGGCGCCAACACCGAGTCCGTCTCGGAACACGCCATCGCACTGCACCTGGCTGCGCGCCGGAAGATCCTGGGGATGAACGCCCTGACGCGCGCCGGCGAGTGGCCGCGGCGGAAGACGTTGATGTTCGATTTCCTCGACAAGGCCGGCGCGCCCCCCTTGACTTGTCAGGAGGAGGTGGCTGGCATTATTGGCAATGGTGCTGTTGGTGAGATGCTCCATGGCAGAAAGATAGTCAATATCTCTCAGACCAGGTCCTAACAAATGCAACAGGGAAGCGAATTGCTCATCTCGCCCGCGGCATGGGGATGAAAGTGGTCATCTCCGACCGCAAGCAACTGGGTGCAGTGACATCAGCACCGAGTATCAGCAAGGATGGTCTCGAACGAGTTCCGTTTGAAACCGTCATCAGAGAGAGCACGGTCCTGTTCGTGGCGGTGCCTCTCCTGGACTCGACGCGGAATCTTCTCTCGACGGCCGAGTTCGAGTCCATGTCTCCCCATGCGGTGCTGATCAACGTGTCCCGCGGGGGCGTCATCGATGAGCGCGCGCTGGTCCAGGCATTGAAGGAAGATCGCATCTCCGGCGCAGCGACCGATGTTTTCTTCCAGGAGCCTGCCGGTCCGGACAACTCGCCTTTGCTGGCCGAGGGGACCGAGGGGCTGAACCTGATCGTGACGCCGCATCTGGCGTGGTTGGCTCAGAGGACCATGGCGAATTACTCGCAGCGGCTGAAGCTGTCGGTGGAAGAGTGGTGCAGAGGGAATCCTCTGAATGTTGTTACTTAGTACCTGTTTATAATGCCTTGACTGCTGAATTAGATTCCTCCAATTATTGAATGAATTTCTCTCTTTCTTTCTTTCTTTCTTTCTTTTTGTTGGGTGTGAGGGGAGGGGTTTGTTTCTAACTCTAGGTTGAACTCAGTGCTGCCTACGCACTGTAGCCTAAAGTACAAAACAAGTATAACCTTGTATAGTAGCGCAATGTGGTTTAAGTCACATAATACAAATACAAGATAAAGAAACATAAGACCGGGCCTTAGGCGTCAACCCCACCCTCACGGCGGACTCTTCCACGACTTCCCCTCCTCTCACTCGCAGCAGTCAGCTCCTTGTTTTCCATCCTGTCGCATATCTTGTACCAGGTCTACAGAGGTAACAGCAGCAACCTACACACGCCTTCTTCTAATCCCTGAAGCCTCGCTAACATGATCAATAAAGTGATGGATTCAACAGCCCCAAGGACCGGCTACCAGACCAGCTCTTCCTGGACTACTCAATCCGTGATATCCAAGAAGGTCGTCTCGTTGCGGCCAACGACCCGTGGGTTCCTTTATATCTCGATGCCATCCGCGATGGGAGGTATGGGGATGCGGCGTGGGCGTGATATCACATCGGTGGAGATGTGGAGAATGGCATCGTTGGCGGCTCTGGTGGTATGACCATCCTCGAGGTGATCAAGGAGGATGCCCTTTCATACCGGGTGTCGCATCCGGAAGAATACTTCAAGGCCGTGGCGTTCTATCGCGGCACGAGCAAGGACGATGGGCGTGTCGATGTCCTGGATGTCATTTGCATTCTTGATGAACGGGAGATCGCGGAGATGGAGGTTAGGAAGAAGAGGGAGAATCAACTGGATGATTAAGGCTGCTTGGTCCTGCTTTTGCCATGCTTTGATAAATAACAGTATGGTTTGGATTCAGTGGTACGATGGCAGCTGTCGCAAGATCTCATCTGAGTCGAGCAGGCTTGACTTTGCGTTGATACTATATGTATCATTCGAAACAAGAACCAACATGGTGGAATACTGTGCTTTTTCTCTTTCCCATATGGGTAGGCCACCGACTTCAGCACGGAGTATCAAGTAAAATCAAGAGATGCTGAAATGAAGCTATCCTGGGAGTCTCGATAACTCAAGTCCTTTTGTTGCTCACCGCCCACCGCGGTGGCCTTCGCTAGTTCCTCCTCCACCATCATCCACCATCAATCACGTCCTTGACACTTCGAGATAGAACCCTTACACCATCTTCTTACAAGGATGATCCATCAGTAGTAGAAGACTTGGACGAATCGAATTGGCAAATCCGGCGTTCAAATCACCCGAATCTACGCGCTCGAATCAAACCTGTGAGCATAGTGAGCTTCTTTGGTCACTCAGGGTGCCTTGCATGGCCCCAGAAATTTGCACTTTACAAGCTTATACTTCATTTGAGATCAAAATCAATGCTATACAATATCTCACGGAGACAAAAGAAAATTCCATTCAAGCACCCCTTCAGCCCACCACGATCTTGGAAACGATCTTCTTACAGAACGCCCAAAGAGAGGCAGCGTTCATGATATCGACCGTCGTCACCAGAGCCCCCAGCTCATTCCGGACCCAGTTACGGACCTCGACGGCGGCCAGGATATCGATCCCGTAGACGGCCAACGGACGCGCCGGGTCCATCGGCTCCGACAGGCGCAGCATGTGCACGAAGCACTTGTTGACGACTTCCACCGCGGCCGCGACCTGGGCGGCGGTATCGGCAGACGAGGAGCGCAGCAAAAGCAGTAGGGCCTGGACCTCCGCGTTGGCGCTGTTGCTACCCCCACCGCTCTCGCCGGGGGTCTTGCCGGCCCCGGCGCCTGCGCGCAACGCCGAGAACCGCGCGTCCCGCAGGAGCGCCGAGTCGGCGGGCTGCGGGGCGACGATGCCCGTCACCATCTGTGTGGCGGCGGCGCCAGATGTGGAGTCGGGGGCAAAGCGCCCGGCCTGCTGGAGCAGGGAGAAGTAGAGGATCTGACGCAGCAGCCTGTTGTTGATGCCCTTGAAGGTGCGGCTGTCGAAGTGCTTCTCCTGGAAGCCCGCGTTGTTGGCGATGAAGCCGTCGTCCTCGATGACCCCAGGTCGATCGAGCAGGCGGCCTGTCCGCGCTGCCGGCGGTAGGCGGCGAATGAGTCCAGGAAGACGTTGGCCGCGGCGTAGTTGGCCTACCCGCGCTGGCCGATCACGCCCGAGATGCTGGACAGCATCGTGAAGAAGTCGAGCGAGAGATGCAGGCGCTCCGCCGCCGTGTGCAGGTTCCACGTGCCTTGGATCTTGCAGGCCACGGCCTGGTGGTATTCTTCTAGGGTCATGGAGTCGAAGGGGCGATCCTGGAGAATGTGCATTAGCGTTTTCTTGATTGTTCTTATTTTCCGAGAGGAGGAGCTGGAGGAACACAACATACCCGCAAAACATCGCGCCCTGGATGATACCTCCGATGGGGAAGGTGGTCTGGTTGAATGCTCTCTGGACATCGCCGGGGCGGGTCCATGGCCACGGTCGACCGACTCTCGGTCTTGCCCATAGTGGCCTCGAAGAGCAGATGCTTCTGGAAGCAAGGCCCGTAGTTGTATCCGGACTCGCGCACGGCCTTGTAGATCATGCTCGCCGGCGTCGCGTGCTGCCAGGGCTCGAGGGAACCCGCCGGAGCCGTCTTCTCCGTGTAGTCCGTTTCGACGGCGATCAACCCTGCGCAATGCTCGGTGTAAACGCCCTCCTTAGTGGAGCAGACCCGAAACTCGTACCAGTCCCGGATGGATCCGCCACGCGCCGGGCTCAAGGCCAGGGTGTAGGTCCTCTGGAAATCTGAACGAACCTTGGAAGGTAAATAACCTCCTTGTTACATGAATTTCTACGGAGTACATTTTCTTCTGTCCAGCCGGAAGATACAAGCTATTACGTGGATAATGGACTGATTTTCATGTCATGTGTTATGAGGAGGGTGAAGCTTTTTGTCACAATGCCATGGGCGATGGAATGGATCTCAAAGTTCTCAACACAGCCCCAAATGTATGTCGATCTATCACTCGATCTATTGCAAGTCTAACTTACCCGAGCTGAGATCAGCCGTGGAGAACATCAAAACAACCCAACCTTGAACCGTAAGGCCATTTGCCAACTTCTCATAAGCCATAACGAAACGCACAATAATGCAATCATGGATCAAAAACATTGAGGGGAAAAGAAAGTCTTTTCCATCATTCATCAGGTTTGCAACCCCCTCCCCTAAACCGAAAAGATGGCTCAATACTTGGGCACGTACGCCTTCACCCGAAATGCCGTGCCGGAAGGCGTTTATGTCCAACCCAATACCGCATCCCTCACTTTTAGGACGGCCCTCGCCCGAGGGAGTAGGGGCAGTACCACCGGACTCGATCTGGACTTGATTTATGCATGGGGCTCTAGCGGAAGCTTTGGTCTGCCCGCCAACTGATCTCCCGTTTGTGTACATGGGAAAGTTTCTCACCGTCAACGGCCGAACGTATACCATCAACTCCGAATGGACCAACGTCGCGGGCCACGCTTCGGGGCTTCAATACGTCAACCATCCAGGTGTGAAGCTGCAGATGACCCAGGATCCCAAGTCCCTTCCCAATGGTCAGCCCGGCGAGTACATCTACCAGCTTGATCAACCCGACGCATCCTCCTTCTACTTTGATGCACACGGAAAGCCCATGCAAAAGTGCGAGCCGGACGGGTCTTACATCCTCTACCACTACAAATCTTCTGGGAAGAACCTCGGCGCCGAATGCACCCGGACCCTGTTGGATTCTATCCAGCATTCCTCGGTTGAGAGCATTCAGTTCGCGTACACGGACGACGCGCAGATTGCCATCACTGCCCCAAGCGGGACCACCACCACAGTTCAGTTCGACGAGAACACCGTTGTAACCTTGGAGGAGACTTCAGCTGATCGGCGCTGGGTGTTTGACTGTATTCCCTGTGTGCAAGACTCGGCGAAACATGTCCTGTCCCGAATCGCCCACCCAGACGGTATCGGATCGCTTTTCGACTATGGCGTAATCGAAGGCTTGAACGACCAAGGCCGTTCCTTCTATCTCTCGCACGTATCCACTTACTCGGTGTGTGACACGGATGACAGCGTTCAACAAAGCACCAAGTACGAGCTTGGGCGGTATTCGCGTGGCAATAGCTACACCGGTGCAAGTATTGGATGCAGGGTGAATGATACCGCGGATGAATTGTTTGAAGGGTCGGGTAAGGCCCCGGGGTATTGGTATGCATCACATCACATCACCTTGGCGCTGCGCTCATGACCTGGGGGAACTTGCTAACAGGCTCACAGGTACGATGTGACCCAGTCGAGCTGTGACAGTGCGGATAGGGAAACTGCCATGCTTACTCGCTCGTTCAACAATTACCATCTGCTCACGGAAGTGGTTCGGTACCGATTGGTTGAGGGGGACTTCTTAGAAGATCAGAAAACGGTCTACACGTACGAGATTCCCAGTGATGGCCGTGCGGCAACGACCACCTATGCGCATCCGGTGTCTGTTGCACACTTTGCCAACACGGCCAGTCAAGGGGAGCCTGTCTGGGCCTCTCGAGGTGTGCTGTCACAAGTTCAAATTGACCGTCTGGAGAAATCGCACATGTGGTAGTTTCCCAGGAGGAACATACCTACATTTGTGAGTGAGAATTGGCCTGCTAGAATTGATAGCAGCTGTGGTATTATATTAATTATAAATATATAAAATGAAACAAACCGTATAAATAAGGCAAATCTGTGCTTAGTCTACTTTATATATTTAGTATACTAACTTAATCTTACTTTTTTAATTAGTTTAACTAGGGTTTATCTGTTATATAGCCCTTACAGCAGCAGCAGCAGCAGCAGCAGCGGGAGTAGTAGTAGTAGTACTACTACTACTAGTACAGGAAAGCCACACTTAAAGAACCATATCATAATATCATAATATCATAACCTCAATCAATCGATGACAAGCCGAGCAGGACTAGTTAGCGGGATCATCAACCTCACGCAATACATACTACACCTCCGCCACCATAGTAGATCTACATTACCCTCCTTACTTGCATCTAGCAACCGCAACCGCAACCTCTCTAGAAAGTTCATCTCCGCATAAAACTTCAAACCTTTCAAAATCACCGTCGCGCCTGCGCCTCCAAAAGCATAACCACCCCGGCCTCCAACCCATCCGCAACCGCCAAATGCAACGGAGTATTCCCCTCAGCATCACACGCCCCCAGCAGGGACTCCATCCCCGGTGCCCGGACTCTTCGGGCATCGCCCTTTCCCCACCACCACCATCGTTGTCGTCGTTGTCGTCGTCGTCGTCGTCGGAGGAGGAGGAGGAGGAGGAGGAGGAGGTGGAGGAGGAGGTGGAGGAGATGTCGCTTGTTGCTAGGATGGTGGTGGTGGTGTCGATCGCGAAGAGTCCGGTTGCTTCGGTTGTAGCAGCAGCAGCAGCTGCTGCTGTTGTTGCTCTCGTCGTTCTGCAGGTCCCGAACCGCATGGTTAGTGTTGGTGTTGTCCCCAGGACAGAGCAGGGGCATGACATACGACGAAACCTGCGCTGCGAATTGCGGTTCTGCATCCGACGACGCTCGCTAATCGCCGTGGGCGTCGGTATAGTGGGCTCCATCGTATCGTCTGAAGGACGTCCTCCGTTGAGGTGGGATTGATTGATAGCGACAACATACTACTAACTACTCACTACTCACTACTATGTATGTACAGTATGTGCTGCTGACAAACATCCAACCTCCTGAGATAGCGAGACCAGCCCCCAAGCAGGCAGCGAGGATTGGAAGGAAGGTCGCTTTGGTGTTTCGAAGCCCACGATAGCTGAATTGGAAGGATCACGGCCTCCAATCAACCCTGGTCCTCTGGTCCTTGGTTGCAACCGGTGCAGATGTGAGATACTCGGCTTGCAATAATCCCTGCATAATTGCGCCAACATCGGCTTGAGATTAGTCGGACTTTAACCCTGAGGTACTCCCAGGGGTAGCTCATTTGGGCACATGGCTGTTGCTATCAGCCTGTTCATTCGATGGAAATAAGTGAAACTACCGACTCTGGCTACAATTCCCCTCATCCCCATCCCCTCCCCCGTTCCCCTCCCCTCCCCTCCCTGGCCCGGCCCCATACTCAAACATATGGCGCCCACTGCTTCTCACACCAATCCCACAGCTTCTCCCCATACCCCAATCCTCCTTCCTCCTTGGAGTCGCCCGCCTTGATCAGATCCTGCCGCCCCGTGGCCGTGTTCGGCCGAATGCGTCCCCAGGGGATGATATACGCCCCGCTGGTCTCGAGCGTGACCTCGGGCGACAACCCGGCAAACAGCTCCGTATACGCCCCGAAGATGGGCTCCGAGAGCATGACCCGGTTTAAGATAAACATGACGAGGGCCGGGGTCCCGTTGAACGACGCCGTCTTCAGATAGCCCGGGTTCAAGCACACACTGACAATGCCATCCTGCTTGTACCGCCGCGCGAACTCCCGGCTGAGAAACCAGGTGCCCGCTTTCGACGCGCCGTAGTTCTGCGCGGACTTGTTGGTCCCCTGGTCGATGACCTTCCAATCGATGCCGTTGGGTGGCGAGCCCGCCTCCGCCAGCCCACTCGACGTCCAAATCACGCGCGTTTGACCACCATCCCGGGGGGAGGCGGCGGCCGCGGCGGCGCGGAGTTGCGGGAGAAGCAACTGCGTGAAGAGCAGGGTCGCGATGCAGTGACGGCCGATGAACAGCTCAAAGTCCTGCGCGGTGCGTTGGCCCACCGGGACGGCGTTGGCGCCCGTGCCGGCGTTGTTCCACAGTACATCCAGCTGGGACTCCTGCTCCGCGAAGCTGGCGGCCGCGGCTTTGACGGTCTTCAGATCGTTGAGATCCAGATGCAGGAACTTCAGTTTGCCGTGGGTGGTCGAGGAGGCGTTGGAAGACCGGCTTGTGATGTCTTTGATGGCGGCCTCGACTTTGTCCTGCACACGGCAGTTGGCGAGCGAGATCAAGTCAGAGTCTGTTTGGGATGGTATCAAACGGGGGATATAGATCGACCTGATCTGCGTGCGCTCTCACCTTGGACCGAGACGCGATGTAAACTGTACCACCACCGGCATAGAGGATCTTGACCAGCTCCAGACCAATCCCCGCATTTCCGCCCGTCACGATGTACACCCGCCCCTGCAGTGAGCCGGCCAGCACATGGGCTTCGGTGAACACGGGCTTGGGGGGGTAGATCTGGGTCAAGGTGGCCCGCAGGCCGGAGAAGGGCGCCATCGCTGCGTACCCTATACACTGGACGTGCTAAGGAGGTGAGCCTCTGGAGAGTCCCTGGAGAATCTCTGGATCAAAAGTGTTCGTCTGATGTGGAGGAAGGAGTTGGGGGGAAAGCCAAGTAGCCAAGTAGGGCTCCAGTTGCAAAGTTGGAAAAGGTGATAGCTCTCCAATTGGGGGAATCGGGAGCTCGAGCTTCAGATGGATTGGTAAGACAGACAAAAGGATTGCTAAGCGCTAGACAAAGAGGCCATGCATGTAATCTGTTTGGCGTGATGTGCTGAGATGCAGGGATTCGCTTCCCACAGTTGATTCAAACAAACTCAGGTAAACTGACCCCCACAGCCTCGAGAAGCTTATCTCAATCCAACATAACTCGAATAACTCTGATACTGTCATGCTTCCGAGCTGAGCTATGGGATTATCATTCTTGGAAATAAGTAAAAAAAGATGCTGGCTGGCTGCAGCTCAGTACTGCATGGTTACTTCTTAGCTATTCTAGCTGTTCCTAGCTATTCCTAGCTAACCACTGATTGTTATCCAGAGCTGAACACCCTGCTACCTAGACGACAGCCCCGTTGCTAGATAAGCGAGAAGACACATTGAATCGCTTTGTACGTAGGTAGGTCGTCTTCAATCCCTTTTCACAGCAAGGTTCTTCAATGCCAGCTCGCTCATCACCACCATCTTCAGTTCCCTCCTCCTGAGCTATGTCGTCTGCGTGGGGATCTACCGGCTCTATTTCAGTCCCAACGCCAAGTTCCCGGGGCCCAAGCTGGCCGCCCTGACGGGGCTCTACGAGGCGTACTTCGATCTGATCCCCAAAGGGGGCGGACAGTTCCCCTTCGAGATCAAGCGCATGCATGCGAAGTATGGCCCGATTGTGCGCATCGATCCGGAAGAGATGCACATCGACGACCCGGAGTTCTACGAGACTCTCTACCCGACCAGCAAGCCCTACGACCAACTGCAGCGGCTGGAGAACCGGTTTGGGATCCCCGGGGCGACCTTCAGCACGGCGCGCCATGACGTGCACAAGATCCGCCGCGCCGCCATCAGCCCTTTCTTTGCCAAAGCCAAGGTGCGCGAGCAGACTGGGCACGCGACGGTCTTCACGAGATGCTGGCCTCCAGCCTGCCCCCCCGAGGAACTGACCTACAAGCGCATGCAGCACGAGTCCGAGTCCCTGATTGGGGCCGGACTCGAGACCACCGCCTGGACCCTGGCCCTGGGCAGTGCTTCTCCATCCTGCAGAATCCCCAGATCTACGCCCAGCTGCAAGACGAGCTGCGCACCGCCATCCCCGTCAACGTCGCCGTCAGCATGGACCAGTATCATATGCTGATGAACGAGCGCGTCTTCCCCAACCCGAGCGCTGGCTCCACGACCCCCGGGGGCCCGACGGGCTCCACCCGCTCACCCACTACCTGACCGTCTTCGGCCGGGGCACCCGCATGTGTCTGGGGCTGAACCTGGCCTACGCCGAGCTGTACATTGGGTTCGCGACGCTGATCCGCCGCCATCGGCTGCGGTTGGTGGGCACGACCGTCCGCGACGTGGCGTTCTACGCCGAGAATACCATTCTGTCGCCGTGGACGGGGACGAAGGGGGTCCGGGTGCTGGTGGAGAGTTCTGGTGATTAGTTGGAACTAGTGTAGGCAGACGGGATTGTAGCAACACAGTTCGCGCCAGTTGCATTTCCAAAGGGGTGCAAAGGAGCTTATCTTATCGTGGCCGGCTTAGTCATATCGCGTCATTGCAAGTGGCGGTCTGTGCTTTAGTCAATGTAAACCCCGATTATCAATCCAATCCTCGCTGCGCCTTATCTCCTTCCCTTCCAAAACCCCCCCCCCCCCCCCCCCCCCCATTTTTTTCCCTTTCGCAATATGGCCAGCTGCTTCTCCCCTGCTTAACGGTCATGGAAGCAGGTTGAATACAGCGTGCCGGATCCGGGAATGAACTTTGGGTGTGTTTGCACCGCATGAACTACCAAACCATCAACATGGCGGGCGATGCCTCCCCCAATCCCTCGGGCCCATATCGCCAGGCCCCAGAGGCTTCCTTGATCCCATCCACGAACGACGATGGGGATCCCAGAAGATTCGGGGCGAATATCTCCTCGAGTCCCAGACTTCACCGACAATCGTCCTCCGAGATTTTCGCGGAGAGCTTCACCATCCGTTCCTTGCTGGTGGGGATCCTCATCGGCGTCTTGATCACCTTCTCGAACACCTACTTCGGCCTGCAGACGGGATGGATCAGTACAATGGCCATGCCTTCGGCCCTGATCGGCTTCTCGGTCTTCAAGGTCTTCTCAAAGTACCTGGCCTACCCGTTCACCCCTATCGAAAACGTCCTCATACAAACCGTTGCAGGCGCGGTCGGCACAATGCCCCTGGGATGCGGCTTTGTCGGGGTGGTTCCTGCTCTGGAATTTCTGATCAAGGATGGACCCGATGGGCCATCGGGGGATGGTGGTACCGGGGAGGGTGGTCCGCTCAGGCTGGGTTTTGGAAAACTGGTGCTCTGGAGTCTCGGGGTGTGCCTGTTCGGCGTGGTCTTTGCCGTCCCCTTGAGGAAGGAAGTCATTGTGCGGGAGAAGCTGAAGTTCCCCAGTGGTACCGCATCGGCGTTGATGCTTAAGGTGTTGCACGGGGGCGGCTGGCGCAGTGAGAAGACAGAGGCCCAGGCTAGTGAAGCTGGTGAGGCATCAAGGTTCCGAGACGAATTCGAGGCGCCCTTGTTGGCGCAACAACCGGACAATGACCACATACTCGCCAAAGATGATCCGGCCGATCTGGCAAGAGATAGGGAAGATTGGAGAGCCAAGATGCGTCTATTGGTGGGTGCGTTTGCCGTGTCCGGCGTATATGTAAGGGTTTATGACTTTGTGCGTGTGCTTCGGTCCGACAACTGACGCGGTTATCCCCAGACCCTGTTTTCATACTTTGTTCCTCAGGTCCGCGACATCCCCATCCTTGGGCTCTACCTCGCTCGGAACTGGCTGTGGACCCTCAACCCATCGCCCGCCTACGTTGGCCAGGGCATCATCATGGGTCCATCCACGTGCATGCACATGCTCTTCGGCGCGGTGTTGGGCTGGGGTATACTCTCGCCGCTTGCGAAAGCGCGTGGCTGGGCTCCCGGTCCTGTGGACAGCTGGGAAGATGGAAGCAAGGCGTGGATTGTCTGGATATCGTTGGCTATCATGCTTGCAGATTCCATCGTCAGTCTCGGCTGGCTGGTGGTACGGCCACTCGTATCATACGCTCCTCAGGTGAAAGACAAGGTGCTTTCCAGTCGCATCGGACGTCGCATATTCCCCGAGGCAGCAACATCCCGCTCGCATCAGCATTCGTATGTCAGCTATTCTGCCCTGAGCCCTATCACCGAAGAATCATCCTACCAGAGCCGTCTCTTTCCGCCCCCTGAGAGTCGCCCGAAAACCAGTGACGACAACGAAGAAGATGCGCCGCCCTCGCAGCTTATCTCTACCCGCACAGTACTTATACTACTTCCATTGACGTTGATCCTGAACGTGGTTTGCATGCACTTCGTGTTCGGCGACCTGATGTCGCCCCTCCTATCCAGCCTCGCCACCTTACTGGCCGTCCTGCTCTCCATCATGGGCGTTCGCGCGCTGGGCGAGACCGATCTGAACCCGGTCTCCGGCATCAGCAAGCTGACCCAGCTCATCTTCTCCCTCGCGACCCCGGCCTCGCACTTCTCGCGCCGCACCGCCCTCGTCACCAATCTCCTCGCCGGCGCCGTCTCCGAGTCCGGCGCCCTGCAGGCCGGCGACATGATGCAGGACCTCAAGACCGGCCACCTCCTGGGCGCCAGCCCCAAAGCGCAATTCTACGGCCAGATGATCGGCAGCCTGATCGGCGCCGTGCTCTCCACCGCCGTCTACAAGATGTACGTGAGCGTCTACGAAGTCCCCGGCCCCATGTTCCAGACCCCGACCGCCTACGTCTGGATCTTCACCGCCCGCCTGGTCACCGGCCAGGGCCTCCCGCCCATGGCCTGGCAGGCCTCCCTGGTCGCCGGCGTGGTCTTCGTGGCCGTGACCATCCTGCGCCTCGTTGCCGCCTCCCCCATCGCGAACGCCGGCCGCCGCGGCGTCTCCGCCCCCTGGCGCGACTGGATCCCCGGCGGCATCGCCGTCGCCGTTGGCATCTTCAACGTCCCCTCCTTCACCCTTGCGCGCGCCATCGGAGGCCTGATCGCCTGGTGGTGGGCCCGTCGCCACGCTGCTGCTGCTGCTGCTGCTGCTGCTGCTGCTGCTGCTTCCGCTTCCACTTCCGCCGGCCACCCTGGCGCGGATCACTCGACCCCCCCGGATGCGGCGGATAGCCGAACTCCGCGCGTGCCGGCAACCCACCGCCCGCGGTCCGCCGAACAAGCCAGCAAGGACGCCGACGCGGCGTCGTCGACCGTCGTCGTGCTGGCATCGGGCCTGATCCTCGGGGAAGGCATCATCAGCATCGTGAACCTCCTGCTCGCGAGTGGGAAGGTGCCTCATCTTTAGAGTAGATGGTAGATCAGGTAAATTATAGACCAAAGTCAGGCCCCGCCGCTCGGCTTTTGGGTCGAGATTACTACCTAGTATAGACAAAGAGTTTAGTATTCCTACTTGGACCGTGAAGAGCTCTTCTTGGCAAGAAAATGAAAATCAAATGAAATGAGATGACATTCCTCTGACTTTGTCTTTTCTCGGCTGGGCTCAACATCACCTACTTCTGCGCTCGGATTGTACTTGTACTTGTACACATTCACATGAAACATTACATACACGTCAACAAACACCAAACATTCACATACAAGGGGGAACAGACACTTTTCCTTCGGGGAAAAGAAAAGTAGTGTGATAGATACGCTTTATCCTTCTTCCGTATATTGTGCTCTCCGTGGTGCCTTTACCCCATCTCGTCTCGCGCAGCACGCATGAGATAGCCTCAAAGACCATTATTAGTGCAGGCAGAGCAGCCGTCGAAGTAAAGGTCAGAAGAGCGGAAGTTGAGCAAAATTCGAATCCAAATATTTGCGGGAGTCAAAGACAGATAGAAAAGATTGTACGGTTTGAAGAGGCTGAATCGGGAAGCAGGTGGTATATTGAGAAGGAAGAAAAGCCAGGAAATAGTAGAAAAAAAAAAATAGAACCGAGACAGCTTGGAAAGCCAGGTTCGTTCAAAATGGTATCCAGACATATCATATCACGCATTTCACAACATCGAATCACTCCGGATTCCCATGTCCTTGCTCGAAAAGAAGAGTACGCAGTAATCTGGTGAGTGTGGACGGCAACCGGGTGGGTGGGTATCTTGTATCATCTCCATAGAAGCGTACTTGGGGAAGAAGAAATCATGATGACATATCTGTTCAGGAGAAGGGTAAAATAAGAAAAAAAAGTGGGGGTTCAAGAATGGATAATAAATGACAAGGTGAAAAGATAAAGAGGGTGTGTACTGCAGCTTAAGCAATGTCGATGCCTCCAGCATAGTGGCGAGTATTATGCTCGTATCGCAGACGCCAAACAATCTGTGACTCCATTTGTTCGGGTCGAGTTGAGCAAGACAATTACCACTCGCGGTTGCCGGTCTCCGAGATCGGGCTTTCAACAAGTGTCGGTGTTGCTCGGGGAATGGTGGACACTGGTGGCATCATCGGACCACCTAAGGGACTCGGACCCGGAAACCCGCCTTGCCGAGGGTTGGGGCCCATAGCAGCACCCGTGCTGTTGCTTCGTGGCCGCTGGCTTGCCGGCATGTGAGGCTTCTGCATCCCCGGAAGACCGTAAGGCCCAGGGCTCATGGATCTGGGAACCATCGGTCTAGGGCCCGGCCCCGGCGAGAAGGATCTGGGAGCAGGTGGGCCCTGAGCAGGGGACATAGGACGCTGGTTGTGGAGACGCAGTGGCATGGGACCAGGACCGGCGTAGCTGGGCTGGCCAGGCGACATCGGGCGAGCAGGTGACTGTGGCCGAGGGACCGGGGGATTGAAGTTGGAGGATGGCGTGGTGGGCCTAGGGGGCATCGGACGATTGGGTGCTGCCATCGGCGGGCCACGAGCCCCAGGACCTGGAGGGGGTCTGGGCTTGAGAGGCCGCGAAGATAGACAAGATCGAGGGACAACGCCCTGTTGCGATCGATCAAGTCTCGTGCATAGAGCCCACCCGTCGTCATACTCGTGCAGTAGTCTGACAAGCTGACCGAAATGCAGTTCCAACTCATCCTCCATTGAAGGGTTGAAGTCCATTTGCACGCGATGCACGTTTCCTGGTGGAGGAGGAGCAGGCCCGGAAGGCGGAGGGCGTGGTCCAGGAGCGACAACAGGAGCGGCGACAGGAGCAGCAAAAGGTGTGCTTGGAGTAGTCGGGGTGGGAATATCATCTAGGACAGCCTCTTGGGGAATAGCTTGGGAACCTGTTCCAGAATCTCCGGGAGACACGGGCAGTTGCTTCTCTTGTGTCTTCGACGTAGAAGTGGCTACAGCTGCAACGCCAACGACAGCAGCTGCGGCCGCAACCCCGGTAACGATGGCGTCTTCAGCAACCGGTTCACTCTCGGCGGCACTCACCACTGGTGAAATTTGCTCGGTCTCTGCAGGAGCTGTCTCTTCTGGAGTAGAAGCAGTCTCCTCG